CGTCATTAAGTAGCTAAGACAATCGTGCCAATCATTAAAAATCTTAGGCCAGCTGGAGCGCCACTAAACGCTCATGTTTTTGAGAGCACTGCCGCATCTCTCCAGTTATCAACACGTACGCAGCTCCTGACGCAGCAGAGGCAACAGAGGCAACAGAGGCAGCAGAGGCACCCGAGACAGAAACCGCAGCAATAGCAGCAGCAGCGGCAGATACTGCAAAACCTGTCTGTAGCAGACGACTGACTAACTAACTATGCAGTTAGATGTTAGACCCGAAAGCAGCGCATGTTTATAGACGCCCTAGATTAGGTCTTTGTCAGCAATTTTCGAGTGTGTACTGTTACCAGGGTGGGGGATTGGGGGATAGGGGTTTGCGGCTGCTGTGCTTACACGTACGAGTACATGTATAGATGTGGGCTTACGCGTATATGTGTGTGTGTGTGTGGGTGTGTGTGGGTGTGGGTGCCGCAATGCAACTGTGTGCTCGAGTGGCGATAGCTGCGAAAAATCCAAAGCATAAGCTGTGGCGCGAGTGGAGGCCACTTGAGCGCTTGTTCCGGCTGCTTTAGTGCCTGCCTGCACGACAGACTACTACTCGCTCGCTCGCCCGCTTGCTAGCTGGCTGGCTGGCTGGTTGGCTGGCTGGCTTACTGGTTCGACCGCTCAGCGTGGGACAAACGTTAGCGGCAGGACCTAAGACACCAGCAGGAAGGGCTAAGAGTTGGCACATACGAGTACAACCAGAGAGATAGACACGAAAAGCTGACATAAAAGTAGCGCAGGTTCCATCTAATCTCTAGACTGGGAGTGGACATAGTTCTTAAGCAAATCTATTCCATCGTTGCATAGCATAACCGTTTAAGAAACATTTTAAATCTTAGATTAAAATACTTCAAAATGTAGATATAAATGGTTTTTTTTCTTCTTTTAATGAACACTTTTTAAAAAAGAAAGAGTGTGAGATTTTCTAAAATAGCTTAAGAATCCATTTAAACTCATCAATACAAGTATTAATTTATTTTTGAAAATTAGCACAACGTATAACCTTTTCCTATATACCTATCCAAGACCATAGGGATAGGATCTAATATAATAAAAAAAGGGAATGCTCGTTTCCAAAGCTCATATATAGGGATAGGATTTATTATAATCGAAAAATGTTCAATTTTTTATAATTGCAAAAAAATGTTTAATTCCAGTCAACGCGACAGTAAAATACTCGCAACTATATTGTTTATCTTCACATAAACCGTATCCATTTATAGCCATTCACTTTTTTTAGCGGAATATATAATCTTAACTCGTTACTCATTTCGATCGATGCATTCTTGTGTGATTACAAATATAAGTAAGTTATGTTTTGTTTGTATTTCTTGCCGAACTATTAGGAATTTCCAACACGTTCTGTACCGTCTCTCTTGCTCTCATTGTTGTCAACAAGAAGTTTGGAAGAGCAGATAAAGTGTAATTAAAAAATAATAATAATATTTATTAAGGCATACAACACCAAAAAATCAATATGTGTTAAGGAACGACTTGAAAAAATAAAGAAAAACATATTTTTAGTGACTCCGCCTCGTAATACTATCGTACCCGAGTATTAAATATATTAGAACTATATACTCATATACTAATTACAAGTAGTCAATGATTTGCCTGAGCATGTTCTCAACTCAATTATGTTTTAAGGTAAAAGCTTAAAAAAAAGGAAACTAAATTAAGACATGTTATAATCTTAAAGATATGTATTATTTATTGTAATGTCTGCTTAAGAAACGATTTCAAATTATTTTTTACACTCGTTGTATACCTCATACATACATATAGTACATAATCAATTAACCCGAATTGCACTCAGCTCGCTGCATTTTGAAAAACTTTGAAAACTGACGAGCCAAGGTTGCGTACAAAGTTATAGTTTGGCTTAAACAAAATTCTTTGGCGCTGTTGAAAATTCGAGGGGCTGTAACTAATTAAATAAAGTCAGCCATAATTTAAGTCTGGGAGCGATGGAAAACAATTTGTGACACCCACCCACCCATCCACCCATCCACCTGCAGCCGTGTGCTTTTTTCTTAAACACTCTTAAAGGGCCCTGGGCTGCTGTCTTTATAATTGCTGCCACTTCGTTGCCTTTCGAGACTAAAATTTTCAAAAGACACTTCCAATATTTTTTGGAGACTCTGCCTGTACTTTGGCTGCGTTTACCTAATTTACTCAAACAGTCCCCCAACCTCTCAAAACACGAATGCCAAACGAAAATAAAAATTAAAGAAAAAACCAACGAAAGAAAAGGAAAACAGCAAATGGCAAAAGATAACAAAAGCAGAGCAAAAACACATTCGCCCATTTGAAGAGTTGGGCTGGCTATTGAAGAAGCCATTTGAAAATTTGAACATTTTTTGGCACAGGTACAAAAAACCGCACCAAAAAAAAAAAAAAAAAAAAGAGAATACAGCAACAACAACGTGCATTGAAATGCGAAATAAAGAGACAAACCAAAGACCGCATTGACTCTTCAACTATTGCAGTGTAGCAGTTTGTATGCATGTGTGTGCATGTGTGTAGATTTGTGTAGATGTGTGTGTGTGCGAATATGTAGATATGCGCTATAGGTTATAATATGTTAGCGTAATGCCGAGTGCTCCCTAGGCGGCAACAGCAACGGCAGCGGAGACGGCGGCAACTGATGATGGGCGGAGCCAACAATTTCGCTAAACAAAAACAAACACACACACAGCGCTTGACATGCATACAATATAGTTGTACGAATGTGCGATTCCACTTTTTTTTTCTTCTTTTTTTTTGCCTTTTTATGTATGGGCGCACTGCGGACGCCGTCGCTGCCCGCTCAACGTCGTCGCATTCCCACCCACCGCCCGCTGCCAGCAAGTGCTGGCGAGCATTGCAAAGCGTCGTTGCCGCGGCCGTTGCTGTCAAAAGGCGTCTTGGCCGAGCCGTTTTTTGGCTACTGCTGTTTGGAACAGCATCAAATTTGGTTAATACGAGTGTGGCCTATTAGGGCATGTCGCTATCTAGGCTGCCTGCCCTTTGATTAGCCTAATGAAACTATGCGGCATGCGAGCAGCTTGCAGTCAAACATTGCCGCCTCCTGGTCTTATGAACAAGTATTTACATAAAATTCCGTTCAGGCTGGAAAAGGAAACTTGCTTGTTAATTGAAAATATGTGGCAAGGAATGTTTCTGAAAATAAAACAGTTGCCCTAGTAAATATCCCATTAAATATTTATTTAAAACCTCAAAAGTAAATCAAATTCAAATTCAAATTTTGGGCAAATTGCATCCTGGAGCTCCAATTTCCTCCATATTTTCTCTTAATTTTAGTCATTGACTCATTGCCTAAATTAGTGATTGATGAGGCGGTTCATTTAATCCGCAGTGCCTTAAACTTCGATAATGTAAATCTATATTGAGGACAGCATCCTTTTGTTAATAATGCTTCTTAGTAAGAATTCACTCGTGAATCGCAGGGATATTTAAATAGTACTTACATACGGGCGTTGAGTTTCAAAAGCGCGTGCTCTGAATTTATGGAACAAACACTAATTTAAAATGTGAAAAATGTGAATAACATTTTTAAGCACTTTACTAAATTAATTTAAATTTATTTTAATTGTGCGTAGAACAAGTTCATTACAAATTATATATTGCCTTTTTTTTTTAATACAGCTATCATTGGACCGATCGGAAGAGCAACTAATATTAGTATATTTCTATAGACATCTTAAGCACAATTGGTATTTATAAAATATATTCGGAGTCATAGTAGATTCTCAAGTTTAATCCAAATCGGCTCGTTTTATAATGTATAGTATCTGCCATACAAATGATGCTTTCAAAAATCACTGTGAGTACTAAAAACTTTTCTTTTTATATCGGTATCGTAACCAAGAAAATATGGTATGATGAATATGTAAAATATTGTTTTCAACGCTGTTTGATGAAATTTTAGGAAAAATAAAACAATCACGTTTTAAGTATACTTTTTTGAGGAATTTCCGGGACACCAATTCGTGATTTAATGAAAATATAAATCAAAATAGAGGTATAGACGTATTTTTGATTGAAATATCGTTAGATTCTTGACCAACTTCTCTGACATTATAGAATTATTATAGAATTTCAAAAGCATAGATTTATTCATAGATTTGTTCATATTTACTTAGACTCTTTACCTTGCAGTGTTCAAAAGAACCACCAGAATGTCCAAATAAATCCTTATTGTCATACAAATATATTAATATCACATTTTGGCGTTTAAGTAGCATTCAAATATTTGGCCAACTTTGTTCAAATTTTGCTGCCTGTCCAAACGTCACTTAAATATGCAAAGAACTTTTGCTTTGCCCAGCTCTGCTCTGCTCGGCTCGACTCTGTTCTACTCTGCCTTGCCAATTGACGTCAAATTACGACGCAGTCTCATCGTCGGAGATGTCATCATCATCATCACATTCATCATCACCAATATCATGATGATTGCCACAGCAGTTGTCGCCGCGTTGCCGCAAAATCTCAATCTTTGATCAATTACAATTTCAATTTAAACAAACTTGGGCGTTCATTGTTTCCGATGAAGACACACCGACAACGATTCGACACCGACGTACAAACAACAAAACTAAATCAATTCCAGAGACCAATTCAAATTGTGGCATACAAAAAATAAGAATCAGATACAACAGCATTGAGAAATAGAGATGCTATTGCTTTAGCTGGGTATATTATTTGCATATACGAATACATACATACATCTGTATGTGTCTATTTGGAAATGGAAAGTTTTGACTCACAGGCATCTTATTAGCGCCGCTATGCTATTTTATTTACAGGAGTTGCCACCACCCTCCATGTGTTAATTGGGCATAGAAGCCAGCGGCAACAAGAGATTTGTGAGCATTTTGACATGTTTCGACTAATTGACATGGTTTCAAGATTTTCTGTTAAATTCGGAGAAGCAAAAATAAATGTGCAGCACTTACCGGGACTGGTTTGCCAGCTTAGGCCGCCAATGAACATTTTGCTGAAAAAAAAAATATTAGAGAACATTATAGATTTCCAGACAAACAAAGCCGAATATACTATACATTTTATTTGCAACTTCAGGTTGCTTGTTGCAACTATTTATTAATTGTTTATGCAACCTTTATTCAATTAAAAAATGTGGCTCAGTTAACCTCTTCATTATTGATTGTTCTACTTAAAAACATAAATGCATTCATTTTAAATCTTAATTTAAAAAACAATAATGGATATTTATTTGGAAGCATAATTGAAACCGCATATCAATTATTCACGGTTTTATTCAATTTTTTCAAATCAATGTGTACGTTATTTCACGTTTTAGTCATCATTTTGGGAGACCGATCAATAATTATGTGCACTTTTGTTATTTCTATTCAGGTTATTTGGCACAAATAATAAATGAATTCAATGCAAATTTGGAATTGCCATACCAAAGGGATTTACAGGCATAATGAGCAAAGCTTTTACACTGCACAAAAATCCACTCTTAACCTAAAGCAACACCTTTAAAAACTAACTAAATTCTAAGATAATTTTGTACTCGAAAAATACGGAAATAGTTAAATCCTTTTTTGCATGCTATAGATTAATATTTTTGAAGAAAAATTATACTATTTTCCAATCTTTAAGACAGCGTTTTTAGCTCAAAATATACAAAAACTTTAATTATGTAGAACCGATTTAAAACACTGATATGTCAGTATAATATTTTTATATATTATATTATATATTATTATTATATATTATTATTAACGGAGCAATAGTTTTTTATGGACTATTCTATGGCTCCATTTAAGTACGGGAAAATGAGTCTAATATTTAGAATAACATTTAATCATAGGAGAGCTTTAATGGGGAAGGGACCACATTTTGTGGTAAAACAGGGGGGAGGGATCGAAATTACCAAAGACTTGTTTTCTGAATGCTTGTAGGGTTGTAAAAATTTTAAGAAAATGTTCTAGAATTGGCAGTTGCTGAGTAGTAGGGAATGTTATGCGAATCACAAAAAAGGATTGCTTCGATGATTGGTAATTAGTATTCCTTGGTGGCTTATTATTTTTGAATATGCTAACTATTGAAGAGATTGCCTGTGAGAAGGTTAGCTGGCAAGATATGGGATGAGTTTTATTAATGTGGTCCTAAAAGCACTAATGAAATTCTAATTGCACCGTTTAATTCTGACAATGATTTATGATTTAACATTTTGAACTAAATTGATTTATTTAATTAATATGCACATATTGCCATTTATTTCCAATAAACAGTAGTTCAATCTAATTAGTGTTTGGTTTTTGATTGCAACATTGAACAGTGCTTATGGAAAGCAGTAAAGTTGAGAGTTTAATCAACTTATGTTGCATAGTGTAGCCATACACACATTAATACCTGCATATTCGTATATAAAAAGTGTATTCAAAATAGGCACACTTGGAATAGGGACCGTAACAAACAGTGAGCTGATTTTTTTTCTGTTACTTATTCGGCTCTTTTTTTGCTGATCTTTTATCAATTGCAACGTCGACGGCTGCGCCCATTGTCAGCGGCAACGTCATCAACATTATCATTATCATCAGCAGTAGAAGCGGCAGTTGCAACTGTGCTTATGCTTATGCTTGTGGTGTGGTGGTGATGGTGATGGTGTTAGTGACTATGGCGGTGGCTGTGTCTATGGTGCGGCCGCCTGTTGTCTTCGTCATTATTTAAATCATAGAAAATAAGCCGCTTTCCCGGCATTGTTTTCATGCTGGAAATCTCCCACTGCCAGTCAGTCAGCCAAGCAAGCAAGCAGCCAGCGAATGCGGCTTATAAAAAACAAAAGCAAAGGCTGTGCCCGAAACGAAAGTGGGCAGACGCCCCCCTTGGACGCCCTGCGCCCTGCACCCTGCACCCAGCGCCCAAGTAGTTGCAACAAACGATGGCGACGTCAACGTCGACGATGACGATGGCAATGACGACAATGATTATGAAAACTTCAACTAACTGCAAAAGAGCGCAACAGTAGCGACAATGTTTGGTGGCAGTGGCTGTGGCTGTGGCGCTCGTGGAGGTGGTGGTGGTGGTGGTGGTGGTGGTGGTGGTGGTGCGGCAGCTGCGACGGCGACGACACGAAAACGAATGTAAAACACACACAAAAATGCATAGAAATACAAATTGCAATGAAAAGCAAAATAAAACAAGAGCCAGAGAGGCACAACAAAAAGCGGCACACGGCACAACTAAATGAAAATGTTAATAAAATGTGCAACAACAGCAACAAATTCTAAAGTAAAGAAAATGTAAACTAGAAAAAAAAACCGACAAGAACAAGAAAAATCTAAACTAAACTAAACTAGACGACGGAGGAAGCGTCAACGGCAACAGCCAACAAAGCTAATGGCTGGGGTGGCGAACTGCGGGGGTGGAGGCGGGCGGCGGGCGGCGGGAGTGTGAGTGTGAGTGGGTCTATGGCAAAGTAACGGTGCTTTACAAGGGCAGCCTAGCTGTCACTCATGCGGCCAGTGAATAAATAGAGAGACACAGTGAGCGATTTTTTCTTTTTACTTCCCACCTCTTCTTCCCAAGACTGACTGCAAAGAGGTAACTGATGGAAACGATTTGTCATTAATCAATCTAAGGTAGAAGTACATGGAAATAAACACACACACACACACATACTCGTACATATACGAATGCATTAGGTATGTTATTTTACATATGTATGTATGTATGCATGTGGAAGGGAAATTGGAATGAGAAATAGCTTCATTGCCATCTACTTAGGTCACAAGATTTGAGATGTGGTTGTCAAGATGTCAAAGCGGGCATTACATTAACAAAATGGGCTTGTCTGCTCTACTTTCAAGCTCTTCTCGAAATACATACATATATTTCAAAAATACAAATTGTAAAAAATACATAAACTGAAACTTTGTTTTATAGAATTCAAAGCACAATAAAAAAAAAACAAAAGCAATACAGTATTGTTGACTACAAAATTTAACGGTACACTGGTAAAAAAGTTGCATAGTACGGATGAATATTTTCATTTTAAGTTTAATGTTCACCTATTTTATATTCAAATCAAATATAAACAAGTCGGGTTTCGGCTGTTAAAAAAAACCAGTAGCATAGACAAAAAAGTGGACAAAATATTTTATTATTATAAAAAATAAACCTTTGGAGTAAATCAAATCCACGTCTCCACATCATCACTTGTGATTTAATATCGTCACACTTTAAATTTAATATTTTAATATTAAATTAATTAATGTATTTTAATATTTACTAAAACACACGATGGTGCAAAATCGATGGTAAAATAGTATAATCTACGTGTAAATATTGAAATTTCCGTGCTTTTCTATCAGTGTACTAATATCAGAAACCTTAAAACCTTTTAAGCAGAAACCTTTTAAAACCCGCAGAACTCTAGTTTTATAATATGAAGTATGTTTTACAAAAATTGCTTCTATGATATATTGCACCGATTTATGATAACTTCAGCGAAAGAAGCCTCACTGTTTGTAACAATAAGATACTGGCTAAGCGAACTCTAAGTTGGTAATTCATTTATTTAAGTCGCCCTAGTGCTAGATCCCTGACCAGCGGACCCCAAACCATATCGAGAAGGTTGACTAAGTAGGACTGAGAAAGTTGTAAAACAAGAACACTGCAACAAATTTTCACCCAGAAATCAATTTTGTCGCATATACATAATTTAAATCAATTAATAAGAAATCAGCTTAGATTGAAGAGAAGATTTTAAAATGTAGGCAATCAGATGCGAATCCACCTCGTCGATAACTTAAGACGGAGACCTTTTAATTAATAATTTATTAGCTCAACTTAGCATTGCAAAGCAGATCTTAAGAAAAATTAAAGCTGAACTATATTTGTACATATAGCCTTAACAAAATTCTTGGGTACGAGAATAGTTAGGCACCGTAGAAATCCTTTTCAGAGTACTTGTAATTTCTCTTAAGAGTAAGCATTGAAAGCTGACAGACATTGATTGATTCCAAAATTGAGTTCATCCCATGTCCAAGGTAAAGATGTACTATACATATACCCCATTATAAATTTACATATAGTATGGTAAGTAGCTGCTTTGACAAATTTCGCTGCCTTTCATTCACATCGTTCACAGCTTTTCTTATTCATTTGAAGTTCTCCTGCTCTCCACTCCCATATATCATTCAACTATTTACTGTCTATTTTTATTGCATTTTTTCATTGCTTTTCTTTCTTCAAATACTTGCGCACACACACATTATTAAGATCATCCATCACATTTGATTTGCACTTTGTCGGCATGTCGCCATTGAAGGCAGCCTCCAACAACACCCGCCCTCTGCCTCCACCACTGCCACAGCCACTGCCTTTTGCTGTTGACTTTGGTTCGCGTTGATCCGCAAATATTTGTATTCATTTCATAATTTTTCAATGTTTGGTCAACGCTTAGGTGTTGTCATTGTTGTTGTTGCTGTTGTTTTTGTTGCAGGTAACCTTCGACTGGCCGAAACTGCAGCGACAGTTATGGTTGATGATGATGATGAGGATTATGATATTGCCCCGTGCAGTGCCGTACAGTGTCGTGCGTTGAAATTTGCGGGGGATGTCGTCGTCAGCATCAAATGCGAGCGACCTTGTCCTACACTGGCAATTTGTGCAACGCATAGATACATACATCAGATAGTCTAGCTAGAAAAAAAGAGGCACACAGTGCGTCCAGCTGTGCGCAATACGCGTATTGTTGCACGCACTCTTAAATACACTCTCGCACCCACACACACACACACACACACACACACACACACACACACACACACAGCCAAACACACAAAACGCCCGTAATTGCCGCCGTTGAGTCCGCAGAGCAAACAAAGCGAAAAGTAAAAACCATTGAACAGAACAACAGTTCAGCATGTCAAAGTCAGCTGCAGTTCCATTTACTGGCTATAGTGTGTGAGTGTGTGTGTTTGTGGGTAGGTTTTAAAGTAGCTTAAACTGCCTAAAATT